AACCTTTTGTCAACAAAAGAATGGCACAAAGGTAACTTAATTATTTTTTGTAGCAAAATGTTTTATAATTAGATTCATTTTCATGTTGTGAAGAATACAACTTTCTACATCAGATGAGATATATGTTAAAGAAAGCATTAAAAATAAGAATAACAAATCATACCGCTCTTCATTGCCAGAACCTCCGCCACCTATTATGAATAAGCCCAATGCTAAAAGTATAGCACAAATATCATAATTTTTTCTTGATGGTTTATAAACTTAAATACATTCTTGTTTTTTAAATTCATTCTTTGATCTGAATAATATCTATCTAGCTATTAGTCTTTTTTATGTATTACTAAGGTTTTCCTTTTATTTTAACTATTTGGGTGTCCTATTATATGTAATGTTGTTAAATTGGTTACATATATTTATATCATTGACAACATTCTATTGTATTAAATAATCCTTAAATCAACTTGATATGAAAATTAAAAATTGATTAAAAGCATGCTGAAATTGTTTGAATTCAGAAATTGAAAGAGTACAAAATTATTTGAAAGATTAAATTAAGTAACAGGTATGGCTGAGGGGTTATTTATAGTTCTAATTATAATTATTTCTTTTGAATAGAGTTGTTATCAGATTTAGAGATAGATTGAAGATGTTTTTTCTTCACATTTTATTGATGAACACAATAAAACCAAGCTAAGTTCACATTGTCAAAGAGTTTCAAGTTTTAATGTGAGTAATTTTGGTTTGTACACCACTAAATGTTAATGTGGAGGTCTTTTTTGTTAATTTGTTTTTGTTTTAAAACAATAGTAAAAGATAGGTATAAAAGAATAGAAATGGATTATTTATAATATTGTGATCCGATAAATCATATGTGTAGCATTTGGTCAACTTTACCTTTAGTAGTTAAACAAAGTTCTTTAATATCGTAACCTTTTACAGGAGGAAATATCAAGAATTGCTCTTGAGCCAAGCCCAAAGAAAAATACACAAAAGTTATCACCAGGGCTGTGGAGTCTGAATTGCGGAGTTAAGACATTTTCAGCGTAGTCGGAGTCGCTAAACAAAATCGCGACTCCGACTCCAATAGTAAAACTTCTCCGTATTGTACGTGCATGTACAAAACATTCAATTAACCTTATGTTCATACTAAACCTCAAAGAACGTTTCATAAATTTGTCAAAAAAAAATTTTTAACTTATATCATAATATCTTTTAAAGAATTTAAAGATAAACATTTTAACTAAAGTAATTTTAGTTAAAATGTTTCTTTACTTATTTAATTTAATCATTTTTTATGACTAATTTAACCGCTATAACACCTTTGTATCAAACAAGTCCCAGCAAACAAAAAGATATCTAAAATGCATCTAATATGCATCTAAAAACTGGTCTAAAAGACGTCTAAATTCACGTCGTCAACGGGACATAAATAGATGTCTATCTTATAGATGTCTTTTAGATGCATTTTATACGACACAAATAAATGCCTTTGATGCATAAAAGATGTGAAATATACATTTAAAGATGTATATTAGATGTATATTTGATGTATAAAAGAGCTATTATTAGCTAAAAAAAATATCTATTACCTATCTTTTTTAAACGCGCCTTAGACATCTATTTAAGAGACGTATTTTATACATCTAAAATGCATCTGTAAGATGTATATTTAACATCTTTTATGCATCTAAGGCAATTATTTGTGTCGAACAAAATGCATCTAAAAGACGTCTATAAAATAGACGTCAATTTATGTCCCGTTCTAGACCTGAATTTAGACATCTTTTAGACCAGTTTTTAGATGCATATTAGATACATTTTAGATATCTTTTTGTTTGCTGGGAGGCTACTGATACTACACTCAGATAAAGATATTTACGAGAAAAGTTCTAGCATAAATAAAAGTACCGTAGTTGTTTAAACCAAGACTTTTAGAGTCAAAAGATATTCTGGAGCATATAAACTTTTTTCGTATCAAAGTAGCAAAAAATGTTCACAAAAATAAAGTGCCCTCATAAAAAGTTCAGGGCTACTTAATCTTCAGGGCATGGTGTTATAGCCCCTACAAATCAGGACAGGTTTAAACTTTCTTTCCTTTGTTCTAAATAATGAGTACATTTAAGCAGAATACTTGTCAAAAAGAACTAACAATTATGCCAATTAATTTCGTTTCAAAAGACTATCATTTATAATTCTTTATTACTTTATTTGTACATTTAACTTACATTTGGTTGCATATTACATTTATGTAATTTACTTTTACGTAATTTAGTTTTTGTAATTTACTTTTTGTAAGTTAATTTTTAATATAATTTTTTATTTTTCTCATTTATTTAGCAGTACAAATATACATATAAATAAATATATATATATATATTTTTATGTATATATATATATATATATATTTATATATATATATATGTATATATATGTTTGTATATATATATATATATATATATATATATATATATATATATATATATATATATATATATATATATATATATATACAATACGGAGAAGTTTTACTATTGGAGTCGGAGTCGCGATTTTGTTTTGCGACTCCGACTACGTTGAAAATGTCTTAACTCCGCAACTCAGTCTCAACAGCCCTGGTGATAACTTTTGTGTATTTTTCTTTGGGCTTGGCTCAAGAGCATATCTCTAAAAAAAAAAAAAAAAAAATTTTACTAAGTGATTTTCTACTAATTTGTAATTGCTCTGTTCTTTTAAAAACATTGAGCACTCTTATTGTAGAATTCATTTGAAATTGTTTATTATGTATATATATATATATATATATATATATATATATATATATATATATATATATATATATATATATATATATATATATGTATATATATATATAATATATATATATATATATATATATATATATATATATATATATATATATATATATATATATATATATATATATATATATATATTATAGATATAT